GCCAACAGTACTAAGTAGCTGTACAAAATAAATACCTCCTCTGAAAGCAAATCACCTACCTCAAAGTTCTAAGCTTGAAGTGCTCTTGAGACACATGAGAAAATGCATGTAATGCAACAGCAGTTGTAAACTGCAACCACCTTTTTTTAAGTATATTCACTGGAGATAAATATATACACACACTACATGCATCTATACATACATACATACACACATATATATACCCCAATAACCAACAAAGTTCAGTTTAAATTAAAAATGCACAAAACTTTGCAATTTCATGTTCACTTTATACAAAGAAACTATTACCTATAATTTAATCTGGCAAGTATTTGTCAGTTATCTGCTATTCAGATGTGTTCTATATACACCTAAATTTGTGTGACTAATCATTTACTGATCTTAAATTAAAAATATCATGTGCCAGTGTCCATGCATTTCTCTTCTTTAAACTTACTGCAAAAAATCCTGATTCCTTTCAAATCCTCAATGAGGATATTTTCTTAATTTCTTTTCATTTACTTGACAGAATTTACCAAAATTCACAGAAGTTAATGACAACTGCCAATGTCAATGACCAATCAAAAGCAGAAGTTTGTGAACATGATAATTTAAGTCTATTTGAATTGCACATACTTCCTAGAGAATCTGAAACCAGTCTAACAGGGGAAGATTAATTTTAAAATGAATCCAAGTTAACAAAAGCAAAGAACTCTTACACAGAAATGCATGTCCCTACTGTAAAGCAGAGCTGTCTACCTTATTCTGTGATGGATCTAGAATATGTTAAATGAATACTAATATCCTTTGGGTTGAATTATACAAAGGTAAAGTCTGAAATATCATAGGGAAATTTGGGGAGAGGTTACTAAGCATTTAAGTGATCCCCAAGGCTCACTTAAGCAGCACGTACACTAAATGATCCCCAAGTGCTTGGCTCATTGCTAATCTTTCCCCCTTTGATTCTGGTAGCAAAGGATTTAGAAGTTTTATAGATTTATTGAATGTACTTTCAACAGAATTTTCTGATATCCACGTGTGTGTGTGTGTGTGTAAAGCAGACACACTATCTTCAGATAGTCTTCAAATATTATACATTGACCATGTTTCTTTGGCACAAATCTGTGTTCTCCGACCCAAATGATGACTCCAAGTAAAGCACCTCTGCCAGTGTTTCTCCTACGTCCCCCTGGGGTTTGGGTCCTGTGTGTCTGCATTACCCATGGGAGGGATTGCTGTGCTAAGATAGATCTGTGGTTCCCCTTAATGTTTATTGGGTACTAGTGCACTAACATTTTTAGAGGAAGAAGAAATTATTTGAAAACCAAAAATCTTTTTAAAGATTTTAAAATTTTTTTAATCCAAAAAAAACCTTCAAGCCACAATTGACCTTCATAGTAATAAATGCATATTCGTCAAATATGACAAGCAGGGGCCTGTTCTAAACAGATTTGCACAATCAGGCAACCTGTCAGCCAGACCTGCACCTGTGGAGATTGGCAGAATGAGCCGCAGGGAATCCCGGGTGTCATGACCAAGCAGTTATGTCTTGACTAAGGCTAATAGTGAGGGGTCAAAACAGAGCAGATCCAACACTGAGCAGGTGCCATTTCATTGAGCCTAATCTATAAGGAACAGCTACACAGCAGTGGTCCCTAAAGAGCTGTTAGGCCTCAACAGATTCATTCAAAGCATGAATAACACAAATAAGCTCAAAAATGCTTTCCTATTGGACACCCATGATATTATTTCCCTATGTTTACTTCCAGTTGACAAAGCAAGTAAACATGTACAATTATAATGATAATTTAGTAAATTTCAGAAGCTGAATCTGACCAAAATACCCTTCAACTACACACTGAGGTCTCAATTTTCCAGTTGGGCTTTATGTATTCATCTAGTTAACTGAAATATTGTCAAACATCTCAATTATGCTCTAACCCTACACTGACTTACTGCCCTATTTAACTAAGTGCTTGCTGATTTATTTTCTCTGAAACTGGCGACTCAGAAATAGCAGCAACCTTTAAGGAATTTTTAATGGAGCTTAGCTCCCAAATGTGTAAGCTGATGACATGCACACCACAGCAGCGTCTGGCGAGCTTGTAGAGATTCTTAAGTACAGCCTTCCGTAGAAGAATATACACCCAGGGGTCTAAGATCTGATTCCATGTGGCCATTCGGAGGGCAAACAGAGTAGTTTCACAAGTTTTCGGATAATTATTTCCATTTATTCCAATATTGGCCATTGTCACCTAAGGGAAAAACAAAACAGAGAAATCAGTTGATACAGAACGTTTGTGCACTCCTATAGGTTTTAAATTTAACCAGCTGTGCTACATGACACTCTTCCTACCACCCACAAGATGATGTTATTTTGCAAAATACTAACAAAAAGAAATGAATGATAGCAGAAACTGATGCAGACATTTGAATCCTTTGAATTCAAATTAACATCAGAACTACAAAAATGATATGTATGATAAGTTAAATGTGCACAAATAGAATGGCCCAAGAGAGGACAACATTGATATCAGTCCTTGTACGTTGTACTCAGTAAGTGGTTCATTATTTTTATTCATTCGGTTATTTCCAGAAGCACAACTGGTCCACAAAGAAACAAGGCAAGAGTGTTGTGCCATCAGCCTCGTTCCCAGCAACCTCCAACTCCTGGGTTCAAGCAATCCTCCTGCCTCGCCCCCCTGAAAAGCTGAGACTACAGGTACCTCCCACAATGCCCAGCAAACTTTTCTATTTTTAGAAAAGACAGGGTCCTGGAGCCTGGCTCTTGCTCAGTTTGGTCTCTGAACTCCTGAGTTCAAGGGATCTGCTTTGATCAGCTTCCCAGGGTACTAGGATTATAGGCGTGAGCAACCGTGCCCGGCCAATCAGAGAAACATTTGACCATCCATTACAAGACTGGTACTGGGGGAGCTTTAAATGTTTCTAAAATTTTTTAAATAACAGCATCCACCAGTGAAGAATCCCAAGGTGATTTATTGGCATTTAAATTGAGCAGGATCTTATAAGCCATGCAGATCCCTTGAGAAATGCTTCTTTCCCTTCTGGTTCATTTCCTGGGGAAATATCATACGAAAATGAAGCCCTAAACATTCTGTAGCTAAATAATATATTAAAAAAAATGGCATTCCCTGCACACCAGTCCCTGTGTCAGATATAGACTCTTATAACACTGCTCTCCAAATGATATAGCAGGATTGAGGAAACACACCTAAATGAGTCCAAGTCCTCTTACAGGAAAGCAGGGCCAAAACCTGATTGGCAGGTGGATTGAGATATTGTCACTTTATTTTCTTTATTCATCAAACATGTGCCAAGCATCTGCTGTATGCCAGGCAGTATGCTGGCCTTAGGATACAATGGCGAACAGAGCAGACACTGCACCTGCCTTCTGGAATTTACAATCTGTTTGTAAGAAACTTCTGTTGTTGCTCAAGGATGAATGAACATTCCTCTTGCCTCACGAGTGTTCAATGCATGCATCTCTATTGATGACTAGGTGTATTCCTGGGGATCTCACAGCCCAGCCAAGACAAAGCTCTGTCAAGAAGGGAAGACTCAGCATAATTACATGAAACAGCAAACCCCACTTTACAGACCTGCAAATTTGATGTGCCTAATTTACATGGCACACATTTCTCTGATTCTCTTCCACCCCCTGCAGATAGTAGTGTGGTCACCAGCTGTGAAAAGACATTGAGTTCTCCTCTGAGGGAGCCCATGGCCTGGGCTTCTGTCCACAACACCAAGGCAGTGCCCAGGCACTCAGAATCATACTCCCTCCTGCCTTTAACCTGCAACCCCAGCCTTGAAAAGACGTTATTCCACAACCTGGGTTGAGAGGAACCCTAATTATTTAACTGCCAACAAAGATGGCCTTTGAATTCAATGGTGAATTCAATAATTCTGTAAAACAAATATCATTAATGTATTGATAATAAAGACATTGATAATAGTGTATTATTAATGATTCAGGACAACCCAAGTATCGAACAAAAGACAAATTATGCTATTTTCACATAATTGAGTGTTAACCTGTAATTCAATGTTAACTTTTGAAAATCAAGTTAACAAACTATGATTGTTGGATGCAAATTGAAAGATAAAAATACCCAAATATGTGATTTTGTGCATCGAAAGGCCTGGGGTATATATCTGTGTTTTCATTGGTTAATTCTAATAATAAGCTGTGAAACTACAGAAGATTTCTATTTGCTCCCTTTAGTTCGTCTCTAATTTACTAATTTGTCAGATAGATCATGCATTATTTTGTGTGCATAGATCTTTTTTCCCCAAGAAATGTGGAAAGATACTACTTAGCTAAAGAATTGGAACTCAAAGTAGTTCTTCCTTGGGACCTTGGCACATTACAGGTGTTCATCAGTGTTAATGACTCGAATTCTAAGTGAGACATGGAGAGGACCAAGTATTTGAATATCTGATGGAAAAATTAATTAATTCACCTGACACCTCTAAGACACTAAACACTAAGAGAAGAGAGAAATGATGAGGGAAGGAAGTGTCTAGAAAAGAGAAACTACATTCATTGCCAGGTTACAGAGAGCAAAAGGAGTAGGGAATACAATAAAATGTGCACTCCTTTGGGCCACCACAAACAATTAGATAATATTAATTGTTAAGGTCAACAAAATTCATGAACCTGCCAGGAGACTTCACTCCTCGATAACATAGCCCACGTTTCCTAAAGTGTATTCTGGAAGGTATTCCATCGTCCCCTGCCCCATGCTCATGTATCTGTTGGCCATAACCAGGACTCCAGGGGCCGTTTGCAATTAAAAGCAATAGTGAATTCAAGGATTACACTTCTGTTCCTGCAAGTAGTCATAAAAATAAATCAATACGGCAGTGAATAGTTTTTGAGTATCTGCTGTATAATAAAAACAAGTAAAAGGTGCCCAAGGCAGGTCTGTTTACTACCACAGGACCACAGATGTCATTCTGCAGTTTTTCTAGTACATCAACTCTGCAGTCTAAATTTCTCCTTGGCACTCCTTTAAAAAAAAATTAAAGTGAATATATCATCAAAATCCTTTCTGGGGAAAAGTCCAAATTCTTTAGAATTTTATCAACATTTATTTTCATGTGAATAAAACCTATGCAATTACACATGGTTCACATATGTTATTGAAGCAGATATTTTCACATGTAATTCATCTCCCTCCAAGGAGTGGGTCGTCCTACCCTCTGTCATGATGAAAGACTAGTTGGGGACAGGCTCTTTGGGGAATGAACACGTACACAGAAGGGCAAGTCACTGACTTACAAGTTATTGCCCCTTATAACATTATCATACAAAAACTAATCTATAAGTTTAGCGCTTGAATAACCACAGAGATAGAAGGCGAATTGTAAGTAATCGCAAGTGTGCCTTACTGTATAATGAGAAAGATTCGTCTGGAGGCTTTGCCAACAGATTACTCCATGAGGTCTCCATGTTCACAGAAGTTTAATTTAGTTGGGATACTAGCAACTGAAAAACTGTATAAATAATTAACTGTGAAATATCAGCACCTATGAGTATTTGCAAATGATAGATTTCATTTCAAATTAACTTCAATGCCAATTTGGGAAAAGTCATACTATACTTGTAAAATGCTAAATTCGTCTCATGTAACGAGTTTCTTTTAGAATCAAACGTATATGCAGTGATTTAAGTCTATAGATTTTATCCTTGAAATAGAGTATTTTGAACTGCAATAACTACAAGAAACTTCATAAAAAAGAATTTATTCTGTGCAACTCCAGAATAATATGCTTTTAAAAAAACTGTAAAAAAATAAAGTGTACAGGCTCTGACAGAATATATTGTTTCAGCTATGAATTTTTCCCATAATTACGTTGGTGAAGAGAGATGGTTATAATGCTGCAATTGTTTTCTATTTATTGAACACTGTCCATGGCCTGAACTTTTAATTACTACATTTGACTGCCCAGGGACCCTGGAGTTAGTTTGCTGAATAATCTCACCATGATTGCCCAGGAGTAAGGAAAGCTTTCATCAGAGTGGGAGCCACTTAGAGAGGCCCTTGCCTAGAGGAACAGAGACCTCTGAGCAACCAGGGTCCGGGAAGGAGAGCCTTGGAAATTGCAGTGATGTCAAGAGACTGGCTTTCCTTGGCCCAGGCCTCCCTCAGCTCTGGCCACTATCTCCACCCACCGAGGCAGTGGGAGGGATGAAGGAGACAGCAGTGCAGAGCTGAAGCTCTGCCATGTTGTAGAAATGCCTGAAGAAGCTCTTCTCTTGTTCCCATCAGACTGACACAGCTCTATTCCCCTTGCCCCGGAGACAGGCAGAGGATGTCTTGAATTTGTCCACTCCTTCAACTGCTCTTCACACAACGTGATTTGCAAACCTCTGGGCATCTACCTCTTATACTCCAGTTTTTCATTTTTACTTTAAAAAAACACACTGGTAAGAAATGACATTAACACTCTACCCATGGCCCAGTAAACACAAAGCTCAGGGGAACGACATTCCTGTAATTTGGACAAACGGCTCCCATCTGTGCCCTGGGACCCTGTTAGCGACTTTTCCTCTGCACATTCCCTTGGGAAATGATCCTGGCTCACAGGCCATTCCAGGAAATCAGCCTACAATTACATTCCTTGAGAATATGTAAACAGGCCTTCACTTTCTCCTGCTATTTTTCAAATTATTCAAATACTTCGATGTATGGATCATATAACCTTTCATACATGAATACGCTGGGTTACAGCCACAGATCTACATGGACTTAGCTTGAGGCTGTAAATATCCAACCTGGAGTTCTGGACCTCAAGCCTGAGCCAGCACCACACACGTGCTGCTGGGTCCACTTTCCTGAAGCCTCTGGAATCTGCGCCTTGCTTCCTCTGCCCTCTCTTGCTGAGCACCCTACCACTTAAAAACCAGAATTTTATCACAGGCTTCTAAGTGGTTTTCCAGTTGGTTTTCCAAAATTGGTTTTGTATTTATTTTTCTTATTTCGACTTGTTTATTCTAGTTATCAGATATTACGTAAATGCCAAAAACATGTCATTTTCCCTGTCCTTCCCTCACCAGGAATGGCCTGTCTAAACCCTGCCTTCCTTCCTAGGCCATCTCCCCAGGACGCCTTCCCAGGCCTCCCTTAGCTCAGTAATCGTTCATTCTACACTCTGGTCATGCTCAGCACCGCTGCTTCAGGTGTCACAGGCACAGCATCAGTGTCACCTGTAGAACACACCGTAACTA